CCAATTTTTCTTTGCAAATTGTGTTTCCAGTGATCCGTAGAGCGGTGAGAATCATAAATTCAGAAGATATGTGGTCTGTAAGAATATACTGAGTCTTCACTGTACATTCCTTTAGCCACTGTTTAATTCAACCCTGTTCATAATAGCGGGAACTAATACCATATATGAGTTGTTTCAGTTCAAGGCAAGTTATCCTTACTTTCGTAAGAGAGAACTCAGTCAGAACAGGGACTGAATGAACGGGTAGAAACCGAAATAACTTAAAAACAAGCAAATATTATGCTTCATAACTGAAGTCATTAACTTCCTCCGTATCCTTACTGTGCAAGAAGTAGAAATAGTCAGAAGTATCCTGAGTAGTAGCAAACACTTTTTGGTAAGGTTCTCGATGTCTCTCTTCAAGGGTTGCTTAGAAGCAGGCTGGTGGCGGCACTACTAATTACTGCCAGAATGAACGTCGAATTGTAGATTTTTGGGTTATTTTACATATACCATCCACTTTTAGGAAGAAATCTGTGCTACTTGCCATTGCTTCATTAGCTGCTGGAAATCAGAAATGAACATTTAAGTGCAACTAGTTGCTTCTTTTCGACGGCTTCTCGTCTAATACTCTTTTTGTGTGCTTAACCCCTGAACTACTGCATTAGTTTTAGACATCATTGACTTAATTTTTCACGAAATTTTTTTGGTTGGTGCATTGTGTATTTTGTTTGCAGATGTTGAAGCATTCTTCACCAGAAATTCCACCGATTCCAACGACGTCGTTTCGTTTTATTGCCGACTATCAGGCACTTAAAGATAGGCCTGAAGAGTTTGCCAATTATTTTTTGGTAAGCACTAAAAAAAAATTTTGTTCTTCATTTTCATCATCCACACATTCGAAGCAGCCAGTAATTCATAAAATGGTCCTCCATCGATGGTGTCTCTCCCAAATGCTTTAGCCAATGCTACATTGTTAAATGATCCGCGTGCTGGTGATACTGGAATCTGTTATGATTCGTGAAGGGATCTTGGTCTAAGAGAGGCAAAATTTGGGGCGAGGTTCTCATTTAAAGTATCTCAAAACGGTCAAAGCCTGGTCAGTTGCTTTTGTCGGAAAAACTGCTGAGCTGATTAGCCTGTTAGGAAATAAAACAAACGTCAGAATTGCCAGCAAGCTACCCGCCAAGTGGTGCAGTATTGATTAGAACAGCTGCAACAAAAATTGCCTGCTTAGTTGATGCAGAACTATACTATAAAATAACAGCTTTTTTTAGTTATTCCGGGGTTTTTTGTTCCAAACTGTGAGAATTGTAAATAATATTATTCAGGCAGTAAATAAAGACGACTATGGTATGTTGCTAGGCGATGTGATTGAAACTGACATGATCGAATTACTAATCACGGGCTTTGCTGCTTTGGCGAATCAAGCCAACATCGCTCACTTCCTTGAATGCCTCCTTCACCTGGCTAATGTTTCTCGATTCGACATTGCGGTCATGTTTTTGGATACACGATCCAAGAATGGTCAGTTTAATTTGGCACCAAATTCAGTCGAGTATTGCTTTAAGATAACGGATGTTACCGTTGTTCTTTTTATGAGATTAATTAGTCTAATAACAGCAATATGTTGGGCTAAATAGGATCCATTAAACCTTGAGGCAATTGGTCCCTTCTGCGAATGCTAGATAATCGCAGAGCCGAATTCTTCAAAAAGTACTTGCCGCTATTTCTTCAGGGTATGTGGTATTCGCAAGTTGTTTGGTACATTTTTTTTTTGCCTTTCCGCGCAGAAATACGTTGCTTCGTGTTCTAGTTTACCTTAATTTATTTGTTGGTCTATCTGCAGTTGAGTTTGAAGTTTTGGTTTTTTTTTTCCTGTAAATTTTTAGTGCTTTTCAGAAAGACGCACTGAAGTCTACACGTTTTTGCAAGTTAATTTCTGCAGCTGAGGTCCAATTTTTTCTCCAAGTTAGCGTATAGGGTTTCATTTTTCAGTTTTTTTAAACATCGTTTGGATTTTTGTTGGTGTTTGCTCAAAATATTCTTGATCTGGGATCAACTTCTGTTCAGAAATATCATTGAAAATTTGCAGGCGTTCCTCATAATTTCTTGGAATACTAACTTTTTTTAAGTGGATTATGCTAATTTGTAGTTTTTATAAAAAACTCAGCCATTTTTTTGGGTAAATGACAATGAATAATATAAAAATAAGAAGTTGAAGGAGAAGATTTTTTCGATTTTTGATGCCTAATTCGTGAAAGAAGTTCTGTAAATACCAAGAAAACTTGAAATTTTTGTGAAGCGCTTTCGTGCCAACGAGCGATAGAGTAGCCCTCTTTCTTTTCGGATTTTCTTTTTTTTTTGGTTCTGAACGGGTCTTTTGGAAGCGTGTGCTTCTCCGTACTTTATCCTAAGCCAGTGGTCTTGCTATCTCTAAGGAAAAACGAGACATTCTGCGAAAATTTCTTTTCATTATTAGAACAGTAGTATTTTTGTTTTGATGCTGGATACACTGCGATGTGGGCTGATCTGGATTAGAGGAAAAACGACTGACCTGAAAATGATGTCCTGCATGTGCGAATGTTTTTAATTTTATAAGTATTTATTTCAGCGCTGAGAGAAT